GGGTTAGAGATACGATGGAGGTTAGGGGTTTACAACTGTTGCTGGTTCGGTCTTGATCTTCTGACGCTTTGGACTTGTGCAAGTCCAGAAAGGGAAAAAAATCATATGTTTATTTCTGAGCCCTTGGTAAACTATAAATCATTGGGGGGACGGGGGTGTCACTGTGGCTCGATAACACAAGGAGTGCCAAACTGCCCCAATCCTGCAGTGCAGAGGATGGAAGGAAGAGGGGAAAGGCCCACCTGTGTCTCCCCACCTGCTTCTGACTGCCTCCCTCTCCGTCTCCAAGGAACAATAACAAATGCTTAATATGGAGCCAGACAAGCGTTTTAATAACTGGAAAAGGTTAGAAAAGAGAATATATATATATATATATATATATATATATATATATATATATATATATATATATTATATATATATATATATATATATATTTTCCCCCCCCCCCCCCCCCCAGTGCTGCATCCTCTCTTGCCAGGAGTCTGAGAGACCCGAAGCACCCTGGCTGCGCATTGATTCAATTATTCTCTGCAATGTAATACTCTGCATCTGTGTGATAGCAACAAACAGAGTTGAAAGACGGTACAAAAATAAATGATCTGAAAGTTAATATGGCTGAACGAGCAGCGCTGAATAAGGGGACAGCGCGATTGGGTTTTACACGGGCGAAATCAATAGCGCGCAGAACAATGTCCTCGCTTCTCTCCAGGGAGGAGGAGGAGGAGGAGGAGGAGGAGAGAGAGACCCGACGGATCGATCGCCATGCAAATGAGTGGCATTCGTGGAATCCGCACCAGCGGGTAATGGATGCTGCTGATAATTACCTCCAAGTTATGCGCTTTTAGGGGATTGCATTGAATTCCTGCAAACGGAGCGGCTTCGTGTTCCGGGAACTTCAAGGAGACATGTCTTCATCTATGGAGATTGCGGGGCATTTCTGAGCTCTCTCAGTGCTTCACAACCGTGGACGAGAAGTCCTAAACTGCCACGTTTGGAAGGCAGGAAAACATGGAAGGATAGAGTGGCAAGCTTGGTAGATGGAGGGAATGCCGTGGGTGGAGCGTATCTTGATTTCAGCAAGGCCTTCAACAAAGTCCCCCATGACCTTCTGGCAAACAAACTGGTCAAATGTGGGTCAGGCAAGGCAGATCGGTAATTGGCTAATGGGTGCTTCTCCCCAATGGTTCCTCTTCTTCATCCTGGAAAGGAGTGACCATTGGAGTGCCATGAAGAGGGTCTCGGTTCTGTCGGATCTCTTTCTTGATGACTCGGACGAAGGTTTAGAGAGCATACTTATGGACTTTGCAGATGGGATCACATTGGGAGGGGGAGCCAAGACAAATTCAGAATTCAGAATGAGCTCAACAGATTAGAGAGCTGATTGTCCAAAGCCAACACAATGAATTTCAAGGAGGACAAATGTAAGCTGTGATACTTGGGCAGAAACCAAAGACAGGGCGGGTGACGCCTGGCTCCACAGCAGTCCACGCGAGAAAGATCTTGGAGTCTGTTTTGTGGGGAAGAAGCTGAACATGAGCCGAGAGTGTGATGCAGCAGCTACAAAGCCAATGGGATTTTGGGCTGCACCCAAAGGAAAGAAGCCATGTTGCCACTCTCTTCTGCTTTGGTTAGACCTCTTTCCCTGGAATACCACTGTGCCCCGTTCTGGGCCCCAAAGTTCAAAAGTGCTGATGACTCTAAGCTGGAAGGAGTCCAGAGGAAGAGGGAGACTAGACGGATGACAGGCCCGGAGACCACAAACAATCCCTCTGAGGAGCGTCTCAAAGAACTGGGTCTGTTTCTCCTGCAGGAGAGAAGGCTGAGAGGAGGCAGGAGAGGAGCCACGGATCAATGTGGGAAAGGGAGTCCTAAGGAGGAGGGAGCAGGCTTCCTTTCTGCTGCCCCGGAGACCAGGTCTCTATGGAAACATGGGTTCAAATGACAGGAAAGAAAGCAGATTCCACCTGAGCATTAGGAAGAACTTCCTGGCCACACGAGCTGTTCAAGAGTGGAACTCTTCCTTAGAATTCAGTAGATGTGTTTTCCTTGGAGGCTTTTAAACAGAAGCTGGATGACCATCTGTTGGGGGTGCTTAGATTGTGTTTTTCCTGCATGGAAGAGGGGGGTTGGACTGGATGGCCCATGTGCACCGGAGATAGAGATGTGAGAAACAAGCTTTCGAGAAAGGTTTTCTGCTGCTGATCTGTCGCAGAGACCTCACGGAAAAGGGAAAAGAAATAATTTCATGTCATCTGTCTTAGATGCCCTGGGCGAACTATAAATCATCCGGGGGGGGGGGGGGGTCTGGCACAACAACAGTGATATGACGATTTATTTATTTATTTATTTATCTATCGTGTCAGGAGCAACCAGACATTTGTATTATATTTTTAACAAAGCAAGCAAAAACAGACAAAACACAGAGTTTGCAAGCTTGATAGCTGATTAAATGTCCTTTGACCAGTCTCTGGCCCCTTGGAGTGCCTCTGGTGTTGCCGTAAGGAGTTCCTCCCTTGTGCATCATGTGGAAGAAGAGCTCAGGGTGCATTGCAGCAGGTGGTCAGTGGTTTGCTCTTCTCTGCACTCGCATGTCGTGGATTCCACTTTGTGGCCCCATTTCTTAAGATTGGCTCTGCATCTCATGGTACCAGAGCGCAGTCTGTTCAGCGCCTTCCAAGTTGCCCAGTCTTCTGTGTGCCCAGGGGGGAGTCTCTCATTTGGTATCAGCCATTGGTTGAGGTTCTGGGTTTGAGCCTGCCACTTTTGGACTCTCGCTTGCTGAGGTGTTCCAGCGAGTGTCTCTGTAGATCTTAGAAAACTATGTCTTGATTTAAGTCGTTGACGTGCTGGCGGATACCCAAACAGGGGATGAGCTGGAGATGTCTCTGCCTTGGTCCTTTCACTATTGGCTGCTACTTCCCGGCGGATGTCAGGTGGTGCAATACCGGCTAAGCAGTGTAATTTCTCCAGTGGTGTAGGGCGCAGACACCCCGTGATAATGCGGCATGTCTCATTAAGAGCCACATCCACTCTTTTAGTGTGGTGAGATGTGTTCCACACTGGGCATGCGTACTCAGCAGCAGAGTAGCATAGCGCAAGGGCAGATGTCTTCACTGTGTCTGGTTGTGATCCCCAGGTTGTGCCAGTCAGCTTTCGTATGATATTGTTTCTAGCACCCACTTTTTGTTTAATGTTCAGGCAGTGCTTCTTGTAGGTCAGAGCACGGTCCAGAGTGACTCCCAGGTATTTGGGTGCGCTGCAATGCTCCAGTGGGATTCCTTCCCAGGTAATAATCCCCAGAGCTCGGGATGCTTGTCTGTTCTTAAGGTGAAAGGCACATGTCTGTGTTTTAGATGGATTAGGGATCAGCTGGTTTTCCCTGTAATAGGCAGTAAGCACCTAGAGCTTCGGAGAGGGGAGAGGGGACATAGAAATGAAAGGAGAAGCCTTTGATGTATATTTATGTCTCATTGTATTTCATTGTAACAAGGCATTGAATGGGTTGTTGTAGGTTTTTTGGGTTGTATGGCCATGTTCTAGAAGCATTCTCTCCTAACGTTTTGCCTGCATCTGAGGCAAGCATCCTCAGAGGTTTGAGGTCTGTTGGAACTAAAAAGGGTTTATATATCTGTGAATGACCAGGGTGGGACAAATAACCCTTGTCTGTTGGAGCTAGGTGGGAATGTTTCAACTGACCACCTTGATTAGCATTTGATAGCCTGGGTTCTTGTGGGTTTTTTCGGGCTATAGGGCCATGTTCTAGAGGCATTTCTCCTGACGTTTCGCCTGCATCTATGGCAAGCATCCTCAGAGGCTGTTGTTTGGCGTGGCTTGTTAGTGCCTGGGGCAATCTTTTGTTGAGAGGTGATTATATGTCCTTGTTTGTTTCTGTTGTTTAGCTGTTGTAATTTTAGAGTTTTTAAATACTGGTAGCCAGATTTTGTTGATGTTCATGGTTTCCTCCTTTCTGTTGAAATTGTCCACCTGCTTTGTGTATTTCAATGGCTTCTCTGTGTCGCCTGACATGGTGGTTGTGAGAGTGGTCCAGCATTTCTGTGTTCTCCAAAAATCTGCTGTGTCCAGGTTGATTCATGAGGTGCTCTGCTATGGCTGACTTCTCTGGTTGAGAGAGTCTGCCGTGCCTTTCATGTTCCTTGATACATGTTTGGGCATTGCTGCGTTTTGGGGGTCCCTATGGAGACTTGTCCACAGCTGCATGGGACTCCTGCAAAAAACTGTCAGGCCATCAAATGCTAATCAAGGTGGTCAGTTGAAACATTCACACCTGTCTCCAACAGACAATAGTTCTTTGTCCCACCCTGGTGGTTCCACAGATATATAAACCCATTTTCCTAGTTCCAACAGACCCCACAAACTCTGAGGATGCCTGCCATAGATGCAGGTGAAAGGTCAGGAGAGAATGCTTCTGGAACATGGCCATATAGCCCGAAAAAACCTACAACAACCTGATGATGTCACTGCCTCGCTGTCCTCCCTTAAACGGGACTCGGAGCGTTGGCTGCCTTGCTCCGGGCATTGCGCTCACGCCTGCCCCAGGGAGAGACCCTTCTGCTGGACGTGCCGAGAGCTTTGGACAAACCCGGGTCCCAAGGGATGGACGGCTTTCCAGGCCTCTGCCGCAGCAGCTGTCGGGATGTATTGCATTGATTGTGTGTTTATTTCCCTCCCGTGATTTGTTGGGCAGTCAAAAGGTGGCAGTGCAGCTCCAGCGCATGACGGGGAAGGAGACGCTGCCCTTGGGATCCCGGGACTTGTAGCTCGGCGGAGGTTGTGCCCTGCCTGCAAACAGGTTTACACAATGGGATGCTGTGACCTTCCCGGGCTGCAAATCCTAGCAGGGAAGGCCGTCCAAGGGGGAAAACCAACACAGGTGCATTTGGGCCGATTCAGCTGAAGGAACCAAGGCCTGTGTGCTTGCTCCTGTTCTTCCCAATCTTGCAAATGAATACATTACATGTTTTGCTTTATTCTGACAGCTCCTGGTACAACCAGAGAAAGGTTTGCACAGCCCTGGTCTCGATGTGCCACTTGCTTGACTCCCGTCAGATCCCCTGAAGATGCCATTAGCCACAGGTGCAGGCGAAACGAAACAAAGGAGAAGATGCTGCTGGAACACGTTGGCCATGCAGCTTGGAAACAAGTTGTAAGTGAATGACAAGACTGCGAAAACGTCCTGTCTTCATCAGTTGCAGGCAGATGCTGGCTTTTCTTCCTTAGCTGGTAATCGGTTTTGCTTCTTACGGAGTATTGTTTGCTCACTTCTTAACTTAAGGACCTTGTAAACACTTCCTTAACTTAAAGAGCCATTGCCTTTGATAATGTAAGCGTGTTGTTTTCCACCAAGAGTTACTCATTGGCTTCAGTGTCATCAATGTTGGTTACTCAATGCTATTCAAGCTTGGTCACTGCAAACTTCACACTTGCTTTACACAGAGAGGGGTTCTTACTCCCACCCTGGGTATTATTCCATAGATATAACACTCCACATCAGAGCCTATGAAGATGCCATTAGTCACAGATGTAGGCAAAACGTCAGGAGAGAATGCTGCTGGAGCACATTGGCCAGGCAGCCCGGAAAACTCACAGCAACCCAGTGGATCTGGCCATACGACAACACACAGGAGTTCCCTTCCCTTCTGCCTTTAAAAAGGCATTTGTTTCAAGGATGGCTTGCTTGCCCCATTTTTCTTCCTCTGGGGGAGCTCGAGTTACAAATGCGTTGCTATCAGGCAGCCAGATAATAGAGACAGGAGGCCGAGGGGAGAGTTGTGAGCAGCCCGGCTCCCCCCCACAGGCTCCGCAAGGAGCGGCCTTCCCATCCCTGGGAGAAGCCCAGCCGCCCACACCCTTCGAGAGGGGGTTGTTGTTACTCTTGCATTGTTACATACTTTGTTGTTGTTCTTGCTGCTGTGGGTCATTGTCATTGTTGTGTGTCTTCAAGTAGTTTCAGGCTCTGGGTGACCTGAAGGCGACCCTCTCACAGAGGTTTCTTGTCAAGATTGATTGATTGATTGATTGATTGGCCTTGGTCTTCCTCTGAGGCTGAGAGAGTGTGGCTCGGCCAAAGGCAGCCAGTGGGTTCAGAGCCAGAGGTTCAAACTACGCTTTACGAATTTCTCCCTCTCTGTTTCCTCCCCTTTTTCTCCCTTTCTTCTCTTCCTTCCCACTCTTTCTCCTACCTTTCTCTCCTTCTCTTCCTTCCGTTTCCTTCCTTCCTTCCTTCCTTCTCTTCCTTTCCTTCTGCCTCCTACTTTCCTTTCTTCTTTCTCTCTTGTCTTCATTTCTTCTCTGTCTCCTGCCCATATAACACTTAAACCACAGTCACGTGTGGGATCTGTGTTGCCATATACTAGTCCACATTATATGGTCAGTGCAGACCCATATAACACAAAGTTAAACTGCCCTATATGGGTCTCCCTCACCGGATTCAAATTGTATTAATTGTATTCCTAAGTGGTGGGATGGATCCTCTTCCAGGGGCATCGGGTGCGGGTGCAGGGACCCCAAAGGGGCTGGAAATGGGCTCTCTTCTGCCGCACGCATTTGCACCCAGTCTCAGGAGGAGCCCCACGTTGGCCTTGCTCTGGCTCCAGGTATATTCCCGGGACTGAATATGTTCCACTTTCCTGGGGAGGAAAGGCTTGTTGGCCGGCCGGCGCTGCTCAAAGCTGAGAAGAGGTTATTCAACAACTCCAAATGCACTGGCCCAACCGGGCACAAAGATGCTCATGTGCATTCCCACCGCTTTGCTTACTTTTCTGCTTTTGAGGGGGAAAAATGGAGAGAGGAGAAAGGCGACAGGCCCAGAAGGCAGCCCCAAGGGTCTGGTGTCCTCTCGGCCAAAAGAGAGGGGGAGATGGGCCGCACTAGGTTCCCTTTGGGCTCCTTTCCTGCAGGTGAGCTCGGTCTGCTTCGATGCAGGTGGATACGGAAGAGGCAAGAGGCTTCCTTCAATGGTTGATCACCACCCAGGCTTTGCTAATCTGGTTGTAAACCTTGATTGGCTGGGAATGGACACAACCAGCAACAATCTCTTTTCTGATTGGCAGAGAATGGACGCTTTATGGCAGGAGGGCCCCGTCTAGATGCCCTTTGGGGGGCCTTCCAAGTCTACCCTCCCCTTGCAGCCCTGGGGTGCTTGGGGTGGACTGCGAGCCCTTCCCGCAGGATTCTCTCTGTCTCGGATTGTGCTTTCTTTTATGGCTGGGGCATGGAGCAGGGCTGTGGCACAATGGAGAGAGCCCCCACTATCCACTTTGCAGGGAGGAATGGGTATGAACTGGGCGGGAAGGAAGACACGGACGTCGAAGGCCTCTCGGGCACAACCACACCTCTGGGACTTTGCACTCTATGCGGATGGCCATAGACCCATGGAATTGGAAGGGACTCCAAGGGCCACCCAGTCCAGGGCCATCCATCTAGACGGGAAAGCACAATGGGTGAATGAGCGAGTGAATAAAAACATTTGGAAGGGGCTCCAAGAGGCCATCTATCTCAACCCCATTCTGCCAGCAAGAAAGGCACAAGGAAGGAATGAATGAATCGATCAGTCAATCAAATAATAAGATTTGGAAGGGACTCGAAGGGCCACCCAGGCCAGCCACGTTCCTCCAGACGGGAAAGCAGAATGAATGAATGAATGAATGAATGAACAATACCATTTGGGAGGGATTCCAAAGGCCATCCAGTCCAACCCCTTTCTGCCAGGATGGGAGATGCAATGAATGAATGAACAAATAAATAAACAATCAGGTTTGGAAGGGGCTCCAAGGGCCGTCCAGTCCGGCCCCATTCACCCAGACAGGAAAGCACAACAAATGAATGAGATTTGGAAAGGACTGCAAAGACTATTTGTTTCTGCCAGGAAGGGGAACACAATGAATGAATGAATGAATGAATTGTAGGATTTGGAAGGGACTCCGAGAGGCCATCTAGCTCACCCTGTCTCTGCCAGAAAGAAAGGCACCATGAACAAATGAATTAATTAATGGTAAGCTTTGGAAGGCCTGCACCTGGCCCAGCTCCTTCCGCCACACGGAAAGGTGACCCCAAGCCCTCCCGACAGATGGCCACCCAGCCTTGGAGGCTGCAAGGCCGCGCATGGGGTGGAGGGATCCCGCTTCCACACGCAAGGCCGCACTCCTTTCGGAGACAAACATGCACACAAGAGGGACTTGTTTGTTTCCCTCTAAACTTTGCACGGCGGCGCTTGCAATCAGCCAGGCAACAAACCCCCTGTTTGACTACCTCTGTCCAAATTTGCTCAGCGCGAGCGGGAACCAAGCAAATGGCTTTTTCTGTTTATACTTCGCGCTAATGAAGAGCCGGCCATTAATAACGCAGGAGCGGGCGGTGTTTGCCGAAGGACGGCGTGATGCCCTTACCAAGTTTGCGCACTTCTCCGGTGCCTCGATTATGCGGGCTTCCCATCTAAGTCTGCTACGGCTCCATGCTATGGAGGTTTGGGAGTTGTAGTTTTCCAAGGCCTTGAACCCTCTTGGGGGGCGTCTACATTGCAGACTTAATGCAGTTTTGATACCACTTGAACTGTGATGACTCCATGCTACGGGTTTTGGGAGATGTAATTCTTCAAGGCCTTGAGCCCTCTCAGGGGCATCTACATTGCAGAATTACTGCAGCTTTGATATCACTTGGACTGCTATAGTTTCATGTTACAGAGTCTCGGGAGTTGTAATTCTTCAAGGCCTTGAGCCTTCTCCGGGAGTGCCTGCATTGCAGAATTACTGCAGCTTCGATACCACTTGAACTGCGATGACTCCATGCTACGGGTTTTGGGAGTTGTAGTTCTTCAAGGCCTTGAGCCCTCTCAGGGAGCATCTACATTGCAGAATTACTGCAGCTTCGATACCACTTGRACTGCGATGGCCCCATGCTATGGAATCCGGAGTGAGACCATGGCTTTTGGTTGAGCGTACAATGGGTGCGCGGGTGTTGGCTCTGCTTCAATGGGAACCCAAGGGAGGGGGTCCGGTCTGGCAAATGGGATGAGGAAACATCCCCAGGAATAAAGAGAGAGATAATTTTTTTGGCACCGGCATTTTGTTTCTAAAGTGTTTCTAAAATATCATTTGTGAAAATTTTGTTTCTGTAACAAGAGTAATGGAATTTTGTTAGTTATATTTGTGAAGTAATTGAGCAAGTGTGGAAACTTCAGAGGCTAATTTCGCCCTCATTTTTAGAGCCATTGTGATGAAACTTGTAATTGTACAACACATTATCCACCATTAGCCCACCAAGTTTCAGAATCGTACACTAATCCACTAATTTTTTGAACTTTTTACAAACAATATTTTTTTTAAAAGCAACTAAAGAGCAATTTACTTGAGTTTTATCTACAATGCACACGATAACCAAGGCATCAATCCCTGGACGTTTCAGAAAGATCCACACATCTACTGATTTTTGCGGATTTCTATAAGTTTAGACAAAAACATTTACCCCCCTTTCAAAAGCCACAACAGCAATCCCCTTGAATGCCTGCCTAGCAGTGTGTCTCTATGGCACACAATTAACCATCGAACTACAAGTTAGCGCAGATTTATACCACCGCTTCCTTACTTTAGTCATCTTTGCAGATTCAATAGTTCTATTAATTATTATTATTAGACTCTAAATGGCCTTCGTTGGGCTTTCTGATGTGGAGCACTGCATTCTGGGAAATGTAGTTCAGGGCAGGGCCTTTTTTATTCCCTGCCAAGGGGCCTTGCCTTCCCAAACTACATTTCCCAGAATGCCGTGTTCTCTGTCTCCTGCCTAGCCCAGCTAGCTGCCCCTCCTTATGGCAACCAGCAAGCAGCCTGGGTCTTAGTTTAAACACGAGCAACGGCCTCCTTGGCTTTGCCAAAGTTGCTTAGTGCTTGCACTGAAAATTAAACTGACTTTGGGAGGATTCTGAATGTTACGGAATCTTAACAAAAGTGATTGGCGAGTGTTTTGCCTTTTTAAACCTCCCCCTTTCCTGCATGTTTCTAATATCAATTCGTTTGCACGAATTTGAGGAATTTGGTATTGAAAGGGTCTTTGAGTGAAATTTGCAAATGCTAAGCAAGGGGCTTTGAGTGAAATTAACAGCAAAAGAGAAACATTCCCTTTCTCTGTAGGAAAGGAGCAACTGGGAAGAAAATGTTTTTAAGAAACAAGATGTGACAGGGAACGGAGACAGTCCTGGTTGCCATTACGGATGAACTCCGTCGCCAGTCTGACAACGGTGGATCCGCGCTACTGGTACTTCTCGACCTTACCGCAGCGTTTGACACCGTTGACTATGATCTAATGATTCACCGTCTTGCCATGTCCGTAGTTCGCGGTCAGGCCCTCAATTGGTTCAACTAATTTCTCTGGAACCGGAGTCAACGCGTGGAGTACATGGATCAAGTCTCCGATAGATCCCCCCTCCTATGTGGGGTCCCCCAAGGTGCAATTCTCTCTCCTCTTCTCTTCAACATCTACGTTAGACCCCTTGCTAGTTTGGCTCGGAGTTTCGGCCTGGACTGCTCCCGATATGCAGACGATACCCAACTCCTTCTGCGCCTGGAGCAACGTCAATTCCAGACAATTTCACCTTATGTCTGGAAGCTCTGTCAAACTGGCTACGTGGTAGCAGACTGAAGGTGAACCCGGCGAAGACTGAGATTCTCTGGCATG